CTTTAAGTTAGCTTCAGAGCTATGGTATGATACGAGGCTACAATTTTATTTCRTGTACCATTTGAAATAGTATATTTATGGAACATTTCCATGTTGCTAAATCTAGATGGTATGGCCCAGAGCTGTTTGCAAGAGGTATCATTTTGTTGAGGATTGTGTAATATTTTATTCCAGTTACTCTTGTGGATAGAAGCCCACTTCTAACCTCTCTAAACTTTAGGAGCAAGGGAACCAGGCTAACTTGAACCAACACTGAGGTGAGGTTGTTGGCTTTCATACAGAAGCAATCTGGCTCAAGCCTTGAGAAATACATCTCAGGATTTTTTTTTTTTTTTTTTTAATATGTACAGGACTGGATGGGACATTCTGAGGTTAAATTCTATGCATTTATAGGAACTCTGGTAAAGTAATCAAGGTCCCAGAATTGACTTGCATTAACATATTTATAACCTGGTGGGGAATGTTTTCCATATTCCTTGTGTCTATTTTTGTAATGATACTAATCCTTCACATTTCTGTATCACCTTTCATTCAGGACTAGATCCCAAGTTGCTTTACATACATAGGACAAAAATACAGACAGACATGATGGTGATATACATAAAACAGACTGAAGAACTATGTGATAAATGCAGCTTACTGAGTACCTCTGACAGACTTACTTACTTACCTCCTCCTTACTCCTTCCTTCCTTACTATATGTTAGGGAATGTGGCTAATTTTCCAAACCTTCTTGCTTCTTCCAAGTATCTATTTTGTTTTATATACACATACACTCCAAGATGCAGATGTGTCTGCCTTTTTTCCCAGACTGGAACTTTGTCCTTAACTCACAGAAATGATCTGTCCYGGCTAGATACAGTGAATTAGAAAAAAATTATGKTTTTATGACAAATTTGTGAAAATATAAATTTCCCTTGCAAGTTTCCAAATTAAAGCTGCATAATGTCATAGAATTTCTGAAACTTAGGAATGTCACCTCTGTATAATAAAAGTTAGTTCATAATTATTTATTGTCAGTTACTATCACATTGGGTTTTGTTTTGTTTTGTTTTCTGAGCAGAAAACACTGGCAAAACTTCACATTTTAATTTGTAAACTCCTGAGGTCAAATTTGAAGTATCCACTCCAAATAATTAAGTTCAAATCCAAAAGCTAGTCACTCTCTTCCTATTTTATTTCAATGAGTTAGGTACAGAAATATCCCTCAGAATGTGAATCTTAGTAAGCCATCTTTGGGCTGCTGAAAGTATGATTTATGATATTTGCAGAGACATTTTTTGAAAAATAGTTCTTTGAGAATAGAGTAGGGTTTTCTCTTTATTCTCTTATTTATTATCCTAAATTAGTAATATTCAGTATTAGCCTGAATTCAGTATTATTATTTGAGCAGAGACATTTTTTGACAAATATATCTTWAAGGCTCAAAATTGTTACGCACTATCAGAAGTAAAAAATGTTTTATTTTAATAAGAAAGGGTGGACTACTTCCTCCCTGCCATGAAACACGGTAATCCTGTCAGGTCAGTCCATAATCACCCTGAAATCATGACATTATTATTTTACAAGGAACTATTTTACATGTTTTTAGGAGGATTTCATTCAATATTAATCATATTTTTTCTCTTCCTTCACTTCTGCTGCTGTTGGAGACACTGTGTTTATTCAGCTTTAGCTATAAAGTGAGAAAACAGTGGTGCAATTTTCTCTTAAAATCCCCACGTATGGCACAGCCTTAATTAAAATCCCCACGTATGGCACAGTCTGGAGCACATGCATTTTGTGCAAGGTGACATATAACACTCATAGCACTTGAAAGGACTTTGAAATTGGGCAAAACACACCAATAACTCTAAAAAAACCAACACAAGATAGATAGCAAATGCAAATATGTAAGGGCTTTGTTGCTTTGTCTGATCCAAAACACAATGCTTTTAGCATGTGTGTTAGTGGGAGCCTAGGCTATGCGTGATAGCATCTCAAATTTAAGTGGTTTAAACCAGGAGCATTAGGCTCGAAAGCCGAGTACTTTTCCAGATGATGGGGGTTAACAATTTGCAGCTCCAAATCCTGTTTGATCTGCTGAGAAATTCAGCCCAGCAAGAGCATGATTTGACTTAGCAGCGCTGTGGGCGAGGAGGCTGCCAGCGGTGGGATGTTTTCCTCATGGATGAGCTCAGGGTGCTGGAGCTGGCTGCTCAGCTGTTACATGGAGTCCTGCCATGGCCTGTCCTGTGACCCCACGAGGACCTGCCTTGTTCTGCACCACTAATGACAGGGGGGAGACAGAGCTCTTTCTTCAACGTGAGAATGCACTGATAAATTCACCTCAACAGGCTGCTGGTCCAAGACAAGGGAACAAAGGAGCTGTAGAGAGAGGGTTTTCTTCTGGTGCACATCCTGTATGTGGCAGATTAACTGCATGCTTCCCTGAAATGCGTTAGAGCGGGATCTTGGAAAAAAATGGAGAATTTGTCAAATATTGCTAGCTTAACAGAAAAYTGGGTCAGTTCCTTTGCTTTTAATAGAATGCACCTTTATTTCACTTCTGCTAATGCAGAAAGCAGCTGATTATGTTGTGTAGGGCTCACATTATTTTCATGGTATTTTGTCTTTGGAATAAAACAATGCACACTTTGTGTCAGGAGTGGCAAGGATTTTACAGAGGGAGACAGGCCACATGTTCCCATGGGTGCTCTTCGCTTTCTCCAGATCCCTGGCAGAAGCTGAATGCTATACTGTGCTATCAGTAGACAAAGTAGCTCCTTAAAGTGACAAATGGCAATTCTTTCTATTTTTAAAACACATTCATCAGGTACTCTCCTATTTAGGTTGCATAATCTTTTCAGCCTGCACTTGTGCAACACCTAGTCCTCATCTGTAATCGCAGCTCTTTGTCTCTACTGTAATACAAACAGTGATGATAAATTCATGTTTGGCTTGGCAATATTGCTACAATGTGCTACAACATCCAATTATGAGAACGTTTTCATTTACAAAAGAGAAATCAAGTAGCAGATTGCACTGTCTCTTGCTCTTCCGGTCTGTGAGCAAGTTACTCCTTGTTGTAAATTCTGTGCAGCTTGTTATGGGGAAGGAAGAATTATGTAATCTTCCTCTTAAAATAAATGCATCTCTTCAGTTTTTATTCCTTGGGCATTTTTTTTTTTAAACCAAGCTAACTATTTCAAAAAAAGACAAAAAGTGGCAGCCCTGGTCCAATACAGTGATTGCCCAGGTACGCTTCCTCAGGAAGGACTACACAATATCTCTAGACTGTGATTGCTTCCAGCCTAAGCTTATGCTTTCACCCATGCCACACCGAGCTATGGAAATCTGTGGTAGCTATGTTATTTCCTTGTTTTCTGTGMCATACACATGTTGTGACACTGTTGTGAACGTGAACATGGATTTTGTTTGGTGCCCTCAAAATCTTAGACATAGAGCAAAAGTAGGGCGCCTTTGTGAACAGTATTGTTTAATATTTGCACGCCTTTGGGAGGAGGCAGAGAGCTGGATGGAGCGAAAAGGGTCTCCCCCTGTCACAAATAAAAATTGCTGAGCTACAGACAGAAGAGGGGTAGCCAAGACAGCAGGATGCGCCGAGCACTTACACACAAGGCGAGGAGTGAAGACAGCGCAAAAAGCCAAACCTCGTCCTTATCTCTCCCAGCTGCTGTTCCTTGGGCAAACTCAGTTCACACACCGTGAAGTCTGCACGACAGAAGAGCAGCTGGGACATATAAAGGCAAGGATTTCAAGGCAGTATGTATCTTAAATCATGGAAGCTGCTGCAATAGACTCCAGCCCYTCCATGTCCTTGCTGCTCCCACCCAGGCTGCCTTCATTCACCATTAATCTCAAGGGAAAACTAGACCRGCCTTTGAGCTAGTGCTTTTCTCTCTGATTACAGTGTTTGGTCTAAGTAATGCTGGCTAAGACCCAGACGCTAGAGCTTGTGCACTGGAGCCTTTCCCCTTCCCAGCAGGAGGATGCTGTGTTAAGGGACTGCCACCTGGCAGCATCTTCAAGGAACTGCAAAAAAGCTAAGCAGAGGCAGGGGTCAGTGAGCACCTGCTTAGAATCACAGAATCACAGAATGCTTAAGGTTGGAAGGGACCTCAGAGGTCATCTAGTCAAACCCCCCTGCTCACACAGGGACACCCAGAACACGTGGCTCAGGGCTGCGTCCAAGCGGGTTTTAAAGATCTCCAAAGRAGGAGATTTTGCTGAAATCTGAGGGCCAGTGACATTTTCTCACAGCTCTGTTGACATAAACTGGCAGATTCAACACAGCATTTCCCCAGCACATGCTATGGACATTCTCTAAAATAGGTCACTTGGCCAGCTTGCCTAAAGCTTTTTCTWGATCAGTTGACTTTGAAAGGCACCATGCTGCAGGCAGTAGGTCACTTCTGTATTTTGGAAAACTTCAGTTGTCCTACAAGGCTTTGTGAAAGGGTCCTCTGCTGTCAAATCTCGCAGCTACCAAACTCTCTTTCTAAACAGAGATCTGTTCAAACAAGACAAACTCAAGGCTTTGCTGAGCCCTAGAGTCTTTTGCCGATAGCCAGCGTGATTTGCAGTTCAAGGGCTCAGGGTTCTGCTTATGAGCTCAAGTCATTATTATTAGTTATATAACGCTTGGGTTATTTTTCATTAATTTGTGTATAAATATGCATATTGGGAAAAGCTCAGGAGAAAAAGACCTGCTCTATGAATGTTCATGCATATATGAGGTTGTCAAGGAATTTGTCAGTCAGTGCCAGTCAAGGAATTTGTCAGTCAGTGCCAAACAGACATTTTTTTTTCCCTAGCAAGATCAAACCTACTCTGACATTTACAAGGATCACTGAACAGAAACCGGTCTGGGACCAGACTGGTGATCTGGATGTGAAAGTGTCTGTGCACTCCTCTAGAGACAGTTTGTGCCTCCTGATCCCTCTCCTCCCCCAAACTGGGTGGAGGTGAGGGTGGCAGGCGGGACTGCAGTGACTTACCAGTCTGTGTGTGCATCATCGATCACCAAGAGGATCTTTGGTTTCTGGGCCACGGGTGGTGTGGGGCTGGCCGAATGGTCGATTAGTCCTGCAGCAGCTTGTGTGGTTTGCTTCATGGCGCTAGAGATGGAGCTGAAGATGCTGGTGCCAGGAGAGGAAGAGTGGGATGGCTGCGGTGGCTGCGGGTGCTTTCTCTCCATGGCAGGAGAAACTGGAGAGCTGGTGGAGTTGTCAGGGCGCTGCAGGTCCATCATGTAGCCATTGGGCAAATTTGCCACAAAACTACTGTCTGAGAGACGCCTTCGGAGGAAATTCATGGTTGAAGTTGTGTGGGAGCCTTCTCAGCAAGAGCAAGACTAACTAGCAGTGTCACTGATCCAGGGGAATATGTCTGTGTGCGTCGAGCCTGGAGGGTGCTTCACTGTAGTCTGGCAGACAGGCTCTTCCCCTTGAAATCCTGCTGGAGAAATACACCTTTGCTTTTCAGATATATTTTCTCTCTCCTGTGGGAGGACAAAGATACATGTGTGAGTGGAACATTGTGAATTTTATGTAAGAAAACTCTCTAGGCCATTTAAATGGGCATCTTTATGACCAAAGATGATTTTTATGCAGTATACAACAGTGGTGTAGCCATACATATAGATCAAAATAGGCTTTATGGTTTTCACTTGTCCCAGAACATGGCCCAGCTGGGGCAGACTAGCTTACACTAGCTTAGAGCATAACAATTCAAAGCAAGTGGAAAAAAATTTCCAGTGTGTTTATGGCCATTTCTATAATTCTGTTCATGAGGAGGAAATAAAAATATTCTGATTGTAAGTGATAATTTCAAAAAGAGAGTCAGACCCAGCTTATTTCTGATATTGTGTGTGTTGTTTCTAACACACCTATTATGCTTGCTATAGAATAACTAGTCAATGATCCAATGAGCTCAAAAAGATGCACCATCTTTTGCAGCCTTGTAAGTAAGACTCAGCATTTAAGAAGCAAATATCCTAAGCTGAAATAGTACATAAAAGCAATTAGTGGAAAAATCCTACTATATGTCTTGATTAAGTTCAACAAAAGCAAATTATTCATTTCTGCACTTGCTGTTTTCTGCGCTCAGAATGAGATTTTGAGTCAGATACTCAGTGGTGGTTGCTACCAGACTACCAGATTTTACAGGTTTGTCTGTGTAGATTTTCATTTTTTTTTTATTATTCTTTTAGAATTAAGGTTGAACACTAAGCTTTTCATGATTTAGATAACCTCGCAACATTACTATAGTTACTTTCTTGTTTGTTTGTTTTGCATTTGTAGACACATAACTCAATAGTGAGATTTCTACAGACCGGAATGTTTCTTGGCTGAGATAGCCTTTGGGTTTTGTCGGGAAGTTAAAAAAAAGTGGAAAATTAACATGCACAGAATAACAGAATTAAGTATATTCTYATAGGCCAAGTGAGACTAATCAAACAAATTCCTGATTTTGAAGTTAAATCACATCCTTATCCCCTCTCAGGTCTTTTGATTGACCTTCTGTGCAAGCTCGGTCTCCTTGAACTGACCTGCCTGATGTGGGTTCCCTCACTGCTCACACTCTTGCCCCAGCTCTCCAATATGGTGCTCTCAGCAGGAATATATTTTCCCCAGTTGGTCCAGCAACTTTAGCTTCTTTGAATCTCTCCTCTTGGAGCTATGGCTCAGAGTTTATGCAGCAACCTAATAACTTTCTTAAAACAAAAAGCCATTTAATSCCAACAATAGGGATTTACAAAGCTTTAGAGTGAAAGGACTCAGACCAGAGGTATCTCTCTCAGATCCCTAGAACCTTAGGAAGGTTCAAACAAGCCTGGCCAAAGGGAGTGAGCTACAAAAAACCCATTGGYTCATGCGCCCCAAATCTAATCATCCATCACCTTCCTGACCCGACGGGCACTGGAGTAGCCTGGTGCAGAGGGCTTTCTACTGAACTTGCCAGCACATCTGCTTATTAGAATGATTTTTCTTTTGATTCCCAGCCCTGGCAGTGGTAGCCCTCTAACTTTGCCAGAGCCTGGAGTTAGTCTTTTCCCAGGGACTAGCTGAGGAAATCTTTAATGACTTCCTGCCACATCTACAGCAGATAACATATCTCAAGATGTTGTGCTGACTTCCCGCCTGGTCTGGAGAGCTCTGAGACTGAACAAAATCAGCAAGTAAGTGCTAGAGTAGCTGTGTTTAGCTATGCAGCAATCCTTCCAAAATGTAGATAGTGTATCATCTGAGAGTTATAAGCCAGCTACTCATCTCATAAATATTTCCACATAGCACTTGGCCTACTTGTGCTCTAACACTTTGGGAACCACAAGCATCCGTGGTGGTACAAGTGCTGGTGATGGAGCCATCCACTGTTACCTGCTGGGTAACTGTGACCAGAGTGGTAGGGCCTATGAGATAAGCAGAGTGGCAGAGCCTATGAAGGCTTGGAGGGCCTTCTTATATACCACTGGCTCAGTGAAAAGGCACTGCATCACCCTCTGCTACCATGCTCCACTGTGTTTTTTACCTTGCATAACAAAAATAAGAATCCCCATTTCTCCACACACACAAATACACACACACTTCAATGACAGAGCACTCGAGAACTGCTTTTGCCCTGGCTAAAAGAAGAGCATCTAAGATCTAGTGTCAGAAGGGATCCAGATGCCTGCCCAATTACACCATACAGCAATCATATATGCTCTACTTAGCCATTAGCTAGCAAGGGGTGGGATGTAAGAACGACCCTGGGACCTCTACCAAAAAAAAGCTGTTCCAGTCCTGCTAGCTTGTATGCTTTGCAGAGCTTTCCCAGAGAGATGCCGGTTGCTGCTGTGTCAGCTCACAGCCACAGGAGGGAACCTAGGCCCAGATGTACAGTGYGGACAAGGCAGTTCTCTCAAGTGTACAGCTCTGAGACACAGAGCCCTGCAAGACTTTGATGCTTTTGAAAGATTTTCTCCCTCAGCACTCAGTGCTTGCAGAGCCGATTTGCAGTAAACAGCTTTTCATATTTATCACAAGGCCACAAAGCAGCCTTCCAGATGCTTTTAAACAGCAGTATTTACAGTGCTCCATCATTTTTTTTTCCCACATAGGGGCTTGGTAGTGAAACAAGTTGCTCAGGAGACACTGGGAGTTGGCAAAACTCTCCTGTCCAGAGATTTTGGGATGTGGCTGGGGGCTGACCTTTCTCTTTGCAGGCTGGCACTGGATCCACTTGCTGCAGAGATCAGACTTCATGCCCTTGGCTTAGGAGGGAAAGGAGAGAAAACCTGAGCAACTGATGTCCCAGGGAAATCTCCCCATGCAAGCATGTGCAAGGTGCCACGGGTGCTGTGGAGAGAAATGCCTGGCTCTGCACAGGGATAGGAGCAGAGCAAGCCCTCCATGAACTTCAGCGCTGGAGTTTTCAAAGTGATGACTTAGGCTGTCCTCATTTTATTACATATATTTTCCTAATGAGCTGGGTAATGTAATTAAAATAGAGTCTTTTTTTTCTTTAATGAAGTTATTGGTAGCATGGCCATATTGATTTATCGATTGCCATTATTGCTGCCACAGAGATCTGCTCTGAAGCGGGAACCATGTAAACTGCCATCAGATTTCCTTATTTACTGGAAAACCTCGTAATCTGCCCCTACATCATRCACATGAATGGTATTTTCCTTTTAAGCAATAAATATTTGCATAAAGGCACTGGTTGAGTAGAGGAAGGCCCTTTTTGTGGAGTATATTCCCAATGTGGGAAGCTCCCTAAGGAACTCAGCACCACTCAGCAAGGCAGCAGCACTCCCTGGGCTTCAAAAGCTCCCGCGAGGCAATGGAAACTTGTTCTGTGGAAGAGCAGYTCCCAAATGCTAAATATGAATGCAGCAGCTGTGTGTGCAACACAGGTCAAGGAATAGTAAATGAGGCAGAGGGAAAAAAAGTGCTTTAAAGAAAAGCTGTTGACTAGAGAGAGGGAAAAAAAAGGAGGAGAAGGCACATATCAAAAGGGAGGAAACAAGCGGGGATGAGCTTAACCAGAAGATTACAGGGGAAATATGGAAATCCCCATGATGAGGACACAGTGAGGGAATCGGAAGGAAACAAGGCAACCAGTTAAACGAAACAAAAGCAAGGTCAGCCAGAACTCATCTTGGAAAAAGCTGCAAAGAGAGTGGTACCAGCAGCCCTTTAAAAACACGCAGTTAAACTTCCTGGCTGATTTGTTTTTTCCAGAAAGACAACAAGGGTAAGCAATCTGCTCCCTTGGCACGTTGACAGCAGACAGGCACCTAACTGCTTTTTCCCAGGATATGCTCTGCAGAGATCCATCTTATCTCAGGAAAGCCTGTTGACATGTGTTGGGAAACAAGAACAAAACACTCACTTAAGCCTCTTGCTGTCCCCTCCGATTGCTTTCTAATGTGTGCGAGCATCTAGAGGGAAGGGAAGTCAATGGGCTGGTACCAGCTAAGTGTGCTTAGATTTCCYCAGAGCTTTTTGTGTGCGCCGTCAGGTAACGAGCTAACACGGCCACGTCGGCCTGCATCTGCTTCCCTGCTCCTGACAGCCTCCACCGAGCTGTGCTGGGAGCAGCAAGACATAAAACCCAATGTGGATGCTGCTGGCGGAGATTATCCTCCCACTTCTCCGTAAGGGAGGGCACAYGCAGTCTTGCTACGTAATGGATAGAAATAGCAGGGGATGCGTCTTGCCCAGCAACTGCCTCCACATCCATTTTCCTGGAAGATCTTTGGGATATGCTGAAATTTCAGATATTGAAGATATACAGAGATCCTCTGCTGCCTTCGGCAAACTGGCACGGTGTGGAAGTGAAGTTATAGTGTTGTTGGGAGCACCAAATTCAGCTAGATGGCTTGCCACATACATCCTCAAAAGGAGGAAATTGGAAGATTATTTATTATTTTCAAGTGTTCAGTGCTTCACACTGAATGATTTCAAATTCACAAGTTTGGCATAGGCTGGAAATTGGAAGCAGCATAAAACAGATAGATATGAAATTAATTGGAGATTTTGTTCATTTTTTACCTCACTTGCTACAGTCTAGGACTCACTAAGCTCATGTGTCCAAACTTCCTAAAATATTTTTTAATGAAAGGTGAAACACCATAAATCAGCCAGTGAAAACAGTGGGCCTTAGCAAAAGAAAATTCACCAAATACCTGTATAACATACAATAAACTGGCAAGACTACAYGGTGTTCCAAAAAGAGCACAGTAAAACAGAGAATTTCCATGCCTATGTTCATTTGCAGAGAGCTTTTCCAGTCATTGCAATATAGCTCTAATGAAGACACTGATGGAGATCCTTCAAAGCACATAAAACTAGAGCACAGGCTTAAAACTGACAGGGTTTGCACATCCTGAAGCCAGAGACRCATCTGTAAATGGGGTATGTGCTATGAGTGACACCAGTCAAGCTGTGCTGTCTGTCTGGAACAGCTGAAAGAAGCCAGACGACTGCCCCAATGGAGC